GTCAAGGGAAATTAACAGAACGTTGAAAACAGCCTCGCTTTTATCATTTGAGACACATCTGTTGGTCAAGCACTTTATTACTTTCTATCGGTATCATGGCTTTAGAGAGAAGGTACATAAATTACGAAGAATTGGTTACATGCGCAGTCATATCTTGTTGAAAAAATAAGTACTTTCGTTTTGCAGTTTGAAAGACAAATGGAAGCCCAAATCAAAAATTGTATTACAATGGTATAGTTAGATAGATGGTTCATTTATATGCTTACGTCACTATAAATTTATTAGCACTCGGTGTGAACACTGTTCTTGTTGTGACTCATAGTCCAGTTCAATTTAAGACATCAGAACGTCAGCCCGCAGGTAGTATACCAGTGCCAATCCACCATTTTTTTACGGAAAACGTATTATTATATATATTATACATTATTTGGACCAACCTCGACGAATTGCTTTTCAGAATTATTGCAAATAAACGCCATGATCATTTGCATAAAATGACATAAAACTTGGTGTCCAAGGTTACAATCAATACATCTGGTCGATATAAATAGTGGCTCAAAAAAAACAGCGTTCCTTTTCAACATATTTGTAGGATTGGTTGAAAGCGGACAGTTCACACACATGTCATCTCTTCAATTCACCGTTCTACAAAACACATTCTACTACCAGTTCATTTTGTGACTAGTGATCATTTTCAAATTTTCTGGAAACTGTAGAGTTTCGCGATTTAGCTTTGTACGATCTTGTGTTGAGATCTAGTGTTGAGATGCCACACTGAATAACGTGCTCTTGAGCATGATTAAATTGATCGATATTTTCCATTCACCTCAATAAAGCAACAGATTTTTATCGCATGCACATAACTTAGGGTTGATTCCAGCTGATGTGATTCTGTTTATCTTATTTCCAGTCAATACACTATAAATTTCTTTAGGATTCAAAATTTACCTACCAATGCATGTGACTCAGTGGTTCTTCCAGCGGCTTCTTTAACGATTCTCTGCTGAGTAATATACTAGGATTTTTGAGTTACAAACTATTGAACAATATTTTCAGAAACATGTATTTGAAGCAAAAGCAACGACGTTTTCTTTAAGATAAAAATGGTTTTCCAATAGCTACAAAAGTTAGAACGAATTTTAAACCTATTTCACATGGATATTGAAGAGATTTAATCAGTTTAAGAATAATAGTCTCCCTTGATACGTTTGTAGTTTATTCGATCGATTTCGAAAGGCATGTTTGAACGTGAGAGAAAAAGTTAACAGTCCATCAGTATTATCTCGCCGCAGTATACTTAAAATGTCGAAGGATGCGAGAACCTCTGAAGGCCGTGAATAGTTTTGAAACTAAAAAACAAATTTCAGTTTTGATGGTAGGTACTTCGAATAGTTTCGTATCGCCTGGACAACTATGACTGTTAGTATTATTAGACTGGCTCCCACACAGAATGGCAATCCAATCTGAAACGTTTCACGGTTAGTTACTGTACGATTACATGGCCCACTCAATCACATTTTTCATAATAGCTTGAATTGCCATGAGTAAAATCGTGCATGTTATTGGGCATCAAATCAAATAACCGCATATGATGGGGGAAACTTTAGATTCATTTGAAGGGATGTGTTAATTTTGCGGTCAGTAATAGAGTAAGTCTTGCACCGAGTGAAATGGAAGGCAACCGAAGAAAGTGGATGTCAGTTCGGTCAATTTTGGCCGGCAACTCATCTAAAACCATTCTGCTCACTATGGTGTCTTTTGGAAGAAATGAATATGACGGCTAGACACTCATGGGATTTAATCAAATACTGAGTAGCCCGTCATGCGACAAGATGGAATTGATCTATGTGCAATGTATACTAGCGTCCCATGAATACGGTCATGTATAAACAGCATTACCTGCTAATTGCAAATGCAAACCTCAATTCGTGGCATTCTCCCAGGGAACTTACCGAACAGTCAGTCTGTTAGAGGTTGTACGAAATACAGGCAACAGTCACTGGAGTCAAGCGAGTGGAGAAAACGCTCGATTGCTGACCAAGTGAAACTGGTAGGCTGAACGTAATAGCACATGCTGAAAACGAAATTAGTCACGAAGTTCAACCGGCAGCGGAATGAGACTGAGAGGGAAGTGATCAACCACCATTATCGATCGATCATAAACGGCTAATGGAGCAATGGAACCGAGCGAGTCGCGGTGAAGAGAGAGAGAGAGCTAATCAAGGTTGTGTGGCATATTGACATGGTAAATTCAACAACACCTGAGGTTTCGGGGAATGATAAATGAATGAAGTGACTCGAAATGTCCAGGAAATCTTGTTCCATGAACAAGCACTGCTGGGTTCAATCGCAAAAAATGGATACAATTAGGTAACGAAAACGCCCATGGTAAACGTGGCCAAACCTCCGTTAAATGTCTCACTACTCTCATTACTATAGTATCGGTTTCGCAAACTGTGTGCTTTTTATGTAACGTTGTCGCTGTGCTAGTTGGCAATAGCTATACGCGAGAATAAACTTGACTCCACTACACTGGACCTGTGGAACTATTACCCTTAAAAAAATACATTTAATTTTAATTGGAAACCTTTTTTCCTGTGACTGATAGATGAGATGTGCGAAATCCAAATCAATTTGGAAACGTTTATGTCGATCAAACTCATATTGAAAGACAAAAATACTCGAAGGAAAACAGGAGTGATGTATCTACTAGAGATATAACGCTAAATTCACCTTTATTTGCTATTTTTGCGCTACCACACTGTGCTGGCCTACAAGTCTGTAGGTGCACCCAATGTACATTCAACCATTTGTACTTTACGGTGACATTTCTATCCTCTCAATCACTATATGGAGTTATTTTAAGAAATATGTTTGAGTTTCCGCTCATTATAAACACATATTCTTGTATCGCCAGGTGTTCGGAAGAAATGAGAATGATTCCAGTTTCCTTGAGTTTCTCCGCTGATACTATCGGGACATATAACAGAAAACAACTGTGTAAACTCCCAAACAATTTCTTTTCAGGCAACAGTGCACTAGAATTAAAGGACCAGTCCTCAATAGAGTTCCACTTCTCAATATTTAATTTGGACCTTCGCAGTGGTGGGTGCACACTTTGTGAACATTATCCCGGAAGAAATCTGGACGCTCGACTGGTCGCGATCATTATCAGTCCTATGCAACCTGACCTGATCTGATCAGGTAACAACAAAAATATGACAACTTTTTATGCACAATATTTTTTAAGGACTTATGCGAAAAGTTATCCTACTTCAAATTAGAATTTTTGTCATTTGTAAATCATCGGATCTTTACACACCGGGTTTAAATGATGGTACAATTAAAATCATTAAATAAGCAATAATCCTATTTACACACGAGTGCTTCATTCAGTCATCAAGTAGCCAATGGAAAATGTTGAGGATTGGAGCAAAAAGAAATGGGAATAACAGAGAACTTTGTCTGATTCCGACTCTGCCACCCAAAATGTAACACTGGCAATCTAGCTGACTATTCTGGAGTGCCAGTTTCAAGGTGTGCCCTGAGGTGATGCTAACGCATTTATCTATCGAGGGTAATCCTTGGTAATAACTTGAGATATACCTTAAACACTGCAATGTTGAATTCCATAACATTATCCACAGACTGTCGATGAACTAAGTTATATGCTTCCTGCTGTGTTATACAACCTTCAGGACATTCTTTCGTCAGCGAATGACAAGGCTTGTACCCATAATAGTATCTGGCAAATCGGTCAGACATTCTGGAAAAGGGTGCGGGCAAAGTAGGGATCTCTAGGGAATCCCACAGACTGCGTCAACTAGTTCAGACCCGAATTTAGATGGTACCTTGTGGAGGTAATCCCTCAATCCAATGAAGGAACTGTTTTCATACACTGTAATTGTGGAGCAGTATTTTATAGTTCATTCAATAAAATGACTCGGGGATATCCCACTAGAACTCTGACTCCATTGCGTCGATCGTCATTACCCAGTCATCTCATACAAGCAACAGATTTATGGTGAGTGACCGTTTTAGTCGAAATTCCTGTTTGGTTGGTGGCATTGCCTTATACTTCTGGAAATGCTCCTTTAGGATATCAGCAACAATCCATTCCGCTAATCGTGACAGAACAGGAAGGCTTGCAACTGAACGGTAGTTAGTAGTGTCAGTTCGACAGCCAGATTTGTTAGAATAGATATCTTATTCTTCTTTCTCGGTATTTATTTCTACGTTTTACATTTAGAATGAATAGAGAGGAATGCATTGAATGTGAATTATATCAATTAATTTTGTTGAAATGGTTTTCACAATCAACTACAGTGATGTGGGTACCGAGAATAGGCGACGTATGCGCAGCTCGATAACAGCTCGTTCTGAGACAATACTGACGGATATATGGTTATCACCGAAACTGGATCGCACTTCTCCCCAAAATGAAGGGAGAACACGAGTGAAACACACACGCATTTGTTACAGCAACCACTAGGGCGCCTAATCCAAAGTTGGAGAAATCAGGTTAACTATATATTTTCGTGTGGCTTTTTTGACTCTCTCTTGCATTTTTGCATTCGTTCCTTGAGGAAGCTGTAAGTCTTTTTGTCTTGTTCATTTCCAACGCCATTACATCAAAAATTTGATTCGACCGTTTGAATCAAGGAGGCCCTCGGGACGTAGACAGAATTGTGACGTGCAGAAATGAATTTACACCACTTGATTTATCTGGTAAATGTAAAGGAATCTTTTAGGTCACACTACTGCATTCAAAAGAGTTTGAAATAAAAAATCAGCAAAATTCACTTTTATTAATAAAGAAACCATGGATGTAATTTTCGTGTCAAAAGAAGTGTGCAAACATAATTGATTGATGTAGAGTCTTGAATCAAACCATTGTAAAACCTAATGCCTCGGTGTGTGGATATTTACATTTTGGGTCATAAGGTTGATAGCACACTTTGTACCAAAGTTGCCCTGTGATGTAAACCGAATAAAGTTAAAAGAGTATTTTTGGGTTTCATTTAAGGTGAGAATATTGGTGCTAAATTTTCAAGCGTATCAACCTTGAAATACATTCCCAAAACTTTTTAATGTTTGTTTTATTCTAACGCTTTAAATAACTGCCAGTCGCCTCTAGTCATCGAAAGAATGAAGAAATTAGACAACTTATTCTGAAATTTGGTTTTATCATAATTGGAGGACATATAAGGGAGACTGTTTCGCACAGCACGTAACTTGGGTGCACTGACGAAAGTATGGATTTTTTTGAATTTTTCTTATCAAGCTAATGGTTTTTAAAATACAGTTATTACCCAAAACTTAGAATATGTAATAACCTAAGGAGAACAGCATGTATTACAATTATTGTACCTCTGATTTTCCTTTGTGCAGGTGTCAAATGGTGATCACATTACATGAATTTGATCGAACTGTATTTCGGTGATCAGCATGCCCTCGAATCTGCTGAAACGTCGCATTTCAACACTTCCGTGGTGTCACGCTCTTTTTGTTCTGATTTTATTCACCTCCGGTGGAGTTTGTCTTTCTTTAGATCTGATCGCTTTGTTAGAAAAAATTCGCAATTGTCCAGTGATTAACGTGAATTTTGTACCTTTCTGGTTTCACTCGGCCGTGTCCATTTTGCAGTTGTCTTTGGCTATTTTTATTTGTATCACACTGCTTCTGTTAACCTCACAACGTTCAGTCAGGAACGTACAATCAAAAGAATCACGTCACATACGGGAGCATTTAGTCGGCGCCGTCGGCTCTACGGGCCATTTTATCCCATTTCACCCGGAAAGTCATCCACCACTTATTTGGGATGGGAATGACACGTCTATTGATTTGGTTTATGTTGGACAGCAAGACGGGCAGGAAGAATCGGCAAGCTGCTGTTCCAGTGCTTGTTGTGTAAGCAAAAGCGAAGATGTCAATAGTTTATCATCCGGCCGAGGCAGAGAAACATGTTGTACTCGATGTGGATGGTTACAACCTATCTCAATTATTCTGTTGATTATTTTCCTTGGTCAGATTGCATCTTTAATCTGGTTACGTGTATTACAAACCGAAATCTCTGATCCAGACGACTATTTCTACTCACGAGTGACCAATCTATTTGTGGAATCTAAAATATCCTACTGGGGAAACCCGGAACATAAGCCAACCTATTCTCCATCACCTTTTCAAGAAATTGTCTCAACAGCCTTTTATCCGGACTCAGCATTATGTTGGCATATGATACAAGAAACTTTCCACTGCTGTGGTGCATCCTCATATACCGATTGGTTGGTGAATATCACAATGAACGCTACGGTCGATGACTATTTGAAACAACTCCCCGAAACTTGTTCATGCCCTCGAGAACAAATTGGTGATGAGGAATGCTACAAACGACCCATTGTGAAGGTTCAAGGTCAGCTTTTGTACACCACCGGATGCATTCAACCTCTGTCGAGGAAACTTTCTAATTTATACACCTCGGGTATTGTTGTAATACCGTGTACAGTGTGTCTACTCCTGATCAGTTTTCTGTGCGACCTTATATACACATTGCATACAGCTCACCTGGTGCTTCAACTGCAAGAGTGAAATCCAGCAAATTTATATCACAGAGATACTGATAGAAATCTTTGGCTGATTTTAATTCGAACCTGCGACTGAAGCCCCTAATACTAATACTAATACTAATACTTTTAACTGGAAACATATTTACAGTAGCCGCCAATCAATTTTGTTAATGATGTGCCTACTGAAAACAAACATATATTACACAATGAGTTGAACCACATGGGTCAAGTTTGACCATCAAACATTCTTTGTCCGTTTTTGGAATGAAATGATGTTAGAATATTTTAGATGATCTGATTCGCTCTGGTGCTTGGAGCACATGGTTGGAATCCCATTAGAGTGAAATACTTTGGTTCTGCTAGCAATATGTTGACGCTTCTCAAACAAGTACGCCTTGCCAAACTTAGTTTTAATACTAAGCAGTCAACTGTCATGCGTAGACAATTGCTTACAAAAAGAGATCACAGACCTAATAGTTCGGGTTGCAAAGATAATTGAATCTGAGCTCATTTTTCTTATTCCAGTAGGATCCAAATTAAAGACAATTCTGAAATGTTTCACCGAAAGGCTTATAATCATGTTTTATTGAATACATAAACAAAATGTTTTAATTACTGAGGAGGAATTAGAAAACGGACAAGTGAAAACTTGAATACGGTCAAGAATATGAGAAATGAGCAGTAAACATAGGAAAGTATTATGAAAAATTGAATAAGGTACCTCACATGTTGTGATTGAATAGGATTGACATATGATGCGCAGTTGTGTTATTGTAGGTTAATTTGTATTTCAGTTGGTAGGTGGAAAAATAGAAAAACTAAGCCGTTATTGTGCAATGGATGGAGTAAATAAAATAGGCTATTTTTGCAATCCGCACCACACGAAGGAAGGATCTTTTAATTTTCTGAACAGTCATTCTATGTTCTCACCAGGTTTAAAATTATTAACTTCGTTGATGTGAAGAAGAGGATACCCCTGAAAAGTGATATAACTTCGATGGCTCTTCACAAAATGAGTTCATCTTTTTTCAAGAGTCGAAAAGGATAGTGAGAATAAACAATAATCTATAAATATCCAAAATAAATCATGAGAAACTTGTAA